TATATATAAAATATATAGATTTCCATACCCTTTAATTTATTGAATTTCATTTTTGTATAAAATATAGACAAAGATTTAATAATTTTTTTTTTTGTATTAGATATAAAGAGGTACTTAAAGATTTAACTAAATCTTTAGAAATATTACCAAATTATGTGTTTGTTTTGGTATATAGAAAAAAAACTTATCATATAATATACAAATATAAAAAACTACTTGCAAATTTAACTAAATTATTAGAAATTTACCTAAATAGTATAGAGGCATTAAAGACTTAGCTAGTACCTTTGGTGCATAATATTTGTTTCTTTTAATTTCTTAACAAGTAATGTTATATTTCACCTAAACCCTTATCTGTATTATTTACTATATATTTCATATTGCTTATCAAGTTACTTTTATCGATATACCTTATATCTATTTATTTCTATATTTATTCTTAATCATATTGTTAATAGTGCAAGGATAGGTTTTAAATTAAATATGATGTAGAAAAGCAATCTAAAATATTAACACAACATGTAAGTGCTATAGAAATATAAATAACTGGTAGTTGCAAATGAAACTAATCTTCAATGGTGCATCTGGTAAAACTGGTACACCGATAATAAAACTAGAGTTGTAGATAAAACTAATCTTCAACAGTGCACCAATAGTGCACCATTGGTATACCAGTTTTTTGGTGAAATGAATTAGTTCTACCAGCAACTCTAGTATATACTATATAAGGAAAGCAGTATAATTAAAGGACAATAGTATTATTTAAAAGAGGCAGTAGTGTTGAAAGATAAGCATGATGAGGAAAGAATTTTCGGTATATAGTAAATGGATAAAACTTTTATATTTGAAATTTGTATATAAAGTCTTCTAATCTGTCTTCAATAAAGTCTTAGAACTCAATTTTAAATAAACAATATAAAAGATTATAGACAATTTAAAGCCAAAACTCAACTTATTCTTTTATAATTACCTATTTATTGTGTAGTTATTAATCTTAAATATTTATTAAATTACTTTTAAAATCAATTAAAATTTTATTTATTTTTATTGCTCTTATCAATTATATTGTTATTTAATTATATTCAAGTTATAATTTTCTAATTATTAATATCTATTTTCTTTGTCTTATTTACTGTCTTAATTTATTTACAATTCTAACCAAACCCGGCTATCTTGTTCTCCCATTGTTAGTAACATAATGAAATTGATTAAAGATAAAATAAAAGAGTAAATAAATAATGGATTATGAAAATATCTATGATATTGATCTTATCTCTAATAATGTTATTTAAAAAAATGTTGAATTTTCTACTAGTGTAGCCAGAAAAAAAGCTATAGACAAATCTGAAGAAGAGCCAAGCGAAAAAAAAATCCAAGTAAATATTTCTAATCTAGCAGATCTAAAAAAAAAACCTAGTTATGTGTAGAAATAGTTTGAGAAAATAAATATACAAGATATTTGCAAAATAATTGTACTTAAAAAAAATATAAAAACTGAATATAATAGAAAATATAAACATGATGAATCAACCGAAAATATGAAAACACACTTATAGCAAGTATATGGAATTTTTGGATCAAACAAATTGGAAGAATCAAATAAAGACTGTTGATTAAATATAAATAAAATGTTTAAAAAAATAATATCACATAATAAATTAAAGCAAGCTAAATTAAAACAAATTACAACTGAGTGGTTAGTAACTGATTAATTACCATTTAATACTGTAAACAAAAAAGAGTATAAAAAAATGATGCAGTGGTTCAATCCTGTATTTGAACCACCAAATAATAAATATATAAAAAAAATCTCAATATTGCTTATCAAAAAGGTCATACAAGACTTAAAAACTTACTTGAAAATACTTGTAAAACTGCCTCTATAGCTACTAACTTATGAACATCCCGTACTAGCTATTGAAAATTTCACATACAAATAAACGAATAAGAAAATATTTAAATGCTAAAATTAAAGAGTTTTGATAAGATGAAAAATTATTTGCACAATAACTGATAATAGAGCAAATATGAAAAAGCAATTTAAGATTTGAATAGTATAAAACATTTACTTGTATTGCACACACACTTTAGCTTACTGTTGTTCATGCTTTAAAATTTATAAACCCATATACTAAACAGATTCAAAGTTTTATTAAATTTTTTTGATCATTGAAACAAAGTCAATGCCTTAATTAGGCACAAATTGAACTAGAAAATCAAAAAAAATTTTAAAAAAAATTCACCTAAAGATATAATTTCAATTATATATCCGAAAACTTATCTAAGACTAAGGATGATAAAATAGAAAGTCAATAATTATTTTACATGCTATTGAAAACACAAATACCCACTAGAATTCTTCTTACCTATTTTGGAAAAGGCTTTAAAATTGTGTCCAGCAATTGAATGGCTTTTTAAAACTATGTATATTCAAATTGATAATGATGATGATATTAAAAGAACTTTAATAATTAAATAAACGAATGCTCAAAGATTATAAATAAGAGCTACTAGAAGAGTTAATAGAAATTTTTAAACTATTTGATAATCTTACAACCTATTTTAGTGAAATACAATATATAACTCTTTCAGTTGTTACCCCAAGTATTGAAACACTAAAGTATGAATATACTAATGGTAATTTTATTAAAAAGAATTTTAATGATAAAATATCAAACTAATTTATTTATTAAACATACTTTATTTCTATAAGCTAAATTATAATTTAAATTTTTACTCTAGATAAGAAATTATTAGAAGAAGATTTTAGTGATGATGAACTTGATAACAATAATGAAAAACTATTCTTACCTTAAACAGTAATTTCAAGACTCTGAGGTATTATTTATAACTCTTTGTGAAGCTACTGGGAAAGTTCTGAGAATTCAGAAAATATTAAATTAATATCTACTATATTGAATTTACAATTAAAATTAATAAACTCATGATCTAAAAAAATACAACAAGAAGTAATTAAACGATTGAAAGCTAAATTTCAAATATGAAAAAATACAACTACAGATAATAAATTAAAACCACCTGGAGAAACTAATACTTCTTGTTTTATAAGAAAAGTATTCAGTTCTGGTAGTAATCAAGATAAAGCAAATAATATAAGTAAAATCAAAAACTATTTAAATGAAACAATAATATTTGTTTTATCTGAATCGGCTAATATTTATGAGTAGTGGCATACAAATAAAAAGTTTTTTTCTATCTTAAGTAAAATAGTACATAAATATTTATTAATCTCTGCTATTTTAGTTCTGAGTAAGTATCTTTTTTTTGATGCAGATAATCAAATTACCTCTAAGAGAAACTGCCTATCATATAAGATAATAAATAAATTATTATTTATTAAATGAAATAATTTGTATTATAGCATTTGGATATAAATATATTATAATAAATATACTTAAATTTTAAAATAAAATCTAAAAACTTTGTTTTGTATTCATATTGTTATCTTCTATTTAAATGAATTAAGTAATTACTAAGTGATCTGAATGGCTCTAATCTTTAACTCTTGTATAAATAAAACTAATTTAAAAAAAAAATTTTTAAGTTTAAAGATAAATTAGTAGCAAAATTTCTTATTAACTAGTAATTTGAAAGCAGGTGATCTATAGCAAAGTTTTTTATACCACCTGGGTGACTCAGTGGTCTACCTGTGAGTAACCTATAGCAAAATTTTTCTATTATCTGATAACCACCTAGGTAACCTGGGTGGCCCACTTGTGAGTAACCCAGATTGGAATTTTTAAGACAGGTCAAAACACTAATACATATGACAAAACCCTCTATGAGGTAATGTTCAGATACAAGCTTCTTGGAATATATTAGCAATTTAATCTCAATAATCCTGGCAACTTTTAGAAAGTAGAGGTACAAGAAATACTAACAACACCTAAAATTGTAAAAAAACATTTAGAAAAGGTTTCAGCAATTCATAAAGAAGCCAACAACCAACTTGAAAAATCAAGTAAATATATGCTCAAATGTTCAAGTTAGAGTTCCTCAAAGTCGAATCAAATCAAATATTTACATATTTGAATTTGATTAAATCGAATAAGCTCTTGATTTGAATTTGATTTGATCAAATCAAATTCAAATCAAATCAAATTTATTTGTAATTTTTATTAAGTATTTTTGAATCAAATCAAATATTTTGTCAATCTGAATTTGATTTGATTTGAAATTTCTGTATTTGAATTTGATTTGAAATCAAATATTTGATCGAATCAAATCAAATCAAATCAAATTGCGGAACCCTAGTTCAAGTATTTATTGTTGCAATAATCTTTATGAGCCTGGTCAACCGGTTGCTATAGCTCCCAATACTGATATGAACCTGGCAACCGGTAAAAGATGAAACTGAAACAGTTGTTAATATGACAAACAACAACAAGACTGTTGTTGTTAAAACAACTGAAAGAAATACTGTCCATTATCCTGTTAAAAGGGTTTGTTGGATCAAAAAAAATAGGTGCTGTGGTGTTATCTTCACCTTTGTAAAAAATAGAAAAAAACGCTTTTATTTTTTTAAGTTTTTTTTTGTTTTTTTTTTGTTTTGTTTTAAGCTGGTTTTTTTAAGCTTAGTCTTTTTTTTTTTTTTAGGAGTCTTCGATTTTTTTAGGATAATTTTTTTGGTTAAGTGTGAGGGTTGGGTTTTTAGGGACTTTTAAAGGCAAAATTATTAGGGTGGGATATATTAATAGAGCTTATAAAATGGGCCGCCTCATGTTAGTTTTTATACTGCAAAAATAAAAATCATGTGATGCCTCCAGTTGGGCAAACCTCATGTTAATTCGCGACAATTATTTAAAACATTATCGTTATGCTAGTATCAATTTTGTTTTGTCTATTACCACTGCTGCTTTATTGACATTCATTTTCTCGAAAACAAATTGACTAAAATGATATGTTACATGTTACCAATATTAATAAAATGTAATATATAAACAATTTGATATATGTATTGCATGAGTTGCTAACATCTATCACTAAAAAGTTTTAGTAGGAAATGTTTTTTTTTTTTGTTTTTTTTTTGAAGATGGACTATGCCTTCTATTAATGTTTAGGTTTTGATCAGATAAATTTACTTTTATAGCTAGTAGAGTTATCTTAATTAACTCATCAGTATTAATCTGACTTAAAAAACGATCTTTATCCAAGCAAGCTGAATTCATATGTAACATATTAAACAATTTATAAAATTTTACTTTTTTTAATCATCATCACTATCATCGCTACTATCACTATCTTCATTCTTCTTTTCACTACCATTGCCAGCCATCACTGAGTAAAGTCCTTGTTCTCTCGCTAGTTTCAATTGTCCAGCTAACGAATCTTCTTCAGGTTCTGATATATCATCATCAATTTCATTTTCTGGAGGAAGTGCAGAAAGATCTTTTACATCGAGCTAAACACATTAAAAGAAATTATAAATAAATATATTGTAATAATAATTTATATAAAAGATATTAGTATGAAAAACTTACACGAAGTTCTTTTCTGATATCAGTTCCCATGTAAGAATCACTCTTAATATATGCAATATAAGTATATAAGCCCGGTTCACGAGGGGCAGGAAATTGGAATTTAAATGTCTTGGTTGTAACAATATCAGTTATTTTGGTGGGCTCAATTATAATTCTATCTCTTTTATCGTCGGCCATAAAAATCCACCAATAAGGCTTTTTGTCTTTCGATAAATATGGTGCATGCACTAAAGGACTTTTTTCATCGGATGAAGTTTTATTCTTTGATCCACCATAAAGTAATTCATCTTCACTATCAAGATATTCACCCTTCTCATCATCATCATCTTCTTCTTCATCTTTTTTCTCTTTTGCATTTGCAATTTTAGCATCAGCTGATTTAATTTCCGCATAGTTTGCCTCTGAATGTGAATCTAAGTATTTAACTTTGATCACTAATGTAATAAGAGATCCAGGTGTGATGACTTCATATCCAGTTACTAATAATGAAATTAAAGCACATTAGAACATCTAGATTATTTTAGTAAAAAATAAAAATAAAATGAATACCTTTAAAATAAGCATTATCAATTTGCATAATGGGATAGAGATTAGCGATATTTTTAAGTATATCGTATTCAGAGTCATTTGATAATTTTATGGCATTTCTTTAAATAAAGAGTAGATTATTAATTATTATCACGTAAATAAACCAAATAATAATAAGAATAACCAGGAAAACGTAGTCCAGAGCATAGTAGTTTTTCATCCAATCAGAAATGTATCACGTGTGGGCAACTAGATATGCTGATTTTACCCAATTATAACTTTAGTCACATGCCAGACAACCGGACACATTGATTAAAGCGTAGGTCTTCTATTACGCTCCGGACAATTAACTAAAGAAATCAAAGGTATAAACATACTTAATATCATCGTCCTTCATTTTTCGCAATTGTACTATACTCCTTATATTCTTTTTTCTTTGCTTCATTATTTTAAAAACCTCAGTAGTCACATATGGCAGTTGGATTAATGGATTATCTTGAAACCACATAGCTTGGACCAAAAACTGAGAAACTTCCATACATCGTATACTGGTTTGCAACCAGCGATGTGCCAATGCGATTTCCAGAAGACCAGTAACAAGATGAATAGATCTCTCAATAATGAAATACTTGTCTATGAAAACAAATGATTATATATAATTTATGTCAAATAAAGGCCGGATGAATCAAATACAAAATAAATAAATAAATAAATACCCTTCATTAGGTCTTTGTCATCAATATTGACTCTTAATAAATGAGCGCATAATAAGGCATGCGCTTTTTGGCAATACGGTGCGTTATACTATTTCAAATTATTTCAAGTCATTAAAAAAAAAAAAAAACATATAAATTAAAATACACGTAGAACCTACCCTTTTACTCTTCTCATATTTTTCACCAAAACGTTTATCCAACTCATCTCTTATTGAAGAAATTACAGGAGCTAATCGCGCATTATCCGAAGGACGCTGCTCCACCAATTCTTTAAATTCGATAGAGGCAGATAACAGATCTAATATTTGTTTAACGTTAGAACTAGGTCTTAAATCTCTGAAATAAAGATCCATGGTGTGTGTTCTTATTCCATTTTTAGTATAACTGCTTGAGCTGTACCACCAGCGACCCTACAAATGAAATTAGGAGCATTATTCTAAATTGTACATCTATATACAGGATGTACAATGATAAATATTAATCTTACCACATAGAAAGGTAGTAACAATCCAAAGACAACAGCATAGATACCAAGTACAATTGGACTGTTTCTTGCTTCAACCAACCAATTAGGAAGAGCAATACCCAAGGAATAGGCTAAAATAATTCATTTTAAATAAAATATTTATTATAAATGACCAATTATGAGTATAAAAAAAAAGAGTAGACAAGTATAATACGGACCTTGCTTGCCATCTGGATGGCCCCACTCTTCAAAATTTCTACGAATATCTTCATCAGTTAACACTTTATAAGCTTTGGATATGTCGATAAATTTCGCTTCGTATTCAATCTTTTGATCTAGCGGAGCTTTATCGGGATGCCTTTATGACAACGCAATATAAACATTATTAATTGAAATGAAAATACATTAAACATTCTAAGAATAATATCAAATATCTTTAGAATATATTTATAGTAATTGTATGATATAACTCACCATTTTCTACTTAATTCCTTAAAGGTTTTTTTTATGGCTTCCAATGAAGTACCCTTTCAGGACAGCAAAGTTAGAAGTATATCTGATAATTAAAAAGGTAATTTTACTAGAATTATATTAATACCTCTCTAATTCCCATTACTTCATATGGATCCCATAATTCAACAACAACTTTTATTGTTGCAATTTTATAAGCCAGATAGAAAAAGAAGATCCAACCAATAATTACACCAACAGCGCTGAAAATAATAATATAGTTAAATTTGAATATAAATCACCTTTTGCTAAATATCAAAATACATACGTCATGTTGATGCGATCAGTAGTTGAAGCCTTTTTCTGTGACTTCAACCAAATTTCCCGATTCTTACAAGCATTACAAGAACACTGAGGTTTACTTATATTTACACCTAAAAATACCGAAGAAAGTAATCGTTTATTTATCTAATTATCTTATTCACTATACATATATATATATTAAGATATAAAAAAAAATTTTGATTGCGAAGATCACAAGTCACTTTAGCATAAAAATCAAAGCCTTCTATAGCCTATGAATTCTACTTAATAAAACACAAGATTCTAAAACATATACTCGAATAATTATCAGATTCATAACTATGTTTTACGCGGAAACGATGTCAGAAAAAAAAAAAAAAAAATTCAAAATTATTAACCTTTTTTTGACTTTAGTAAATTAATGGTGATTGGTATTAGAAAAAGCGCCAAGACTGTTATGAAAAAGTAGTTAAAAGTAACCCCCTGCTCATCATAAACGTATTGCATTTTTGTAATTTTTGTTTACAAAAACGAAAAGGTAAAGATTTAAGCCTTTTAAAAGATACGGCAATGAACAATGTAAAGTGTGGCAAGAGTTGATTGGATATAATCCGATTGGCGGAAGCGTGGTAAAAAGTTTAAAAAATGATGATCGTCCACAATTTAAGCTTCGTTATGAGCACACGTGAGATAGAATATAGAATTCTAAGCCAAAAGTATTTATAACGATAAGAGAAACGTGACATAGATTACAAAAAGATCAAATCACCTGATTTTAACCTGAATTACAAAATCATAGAATCGATTCTAACCTGATAAAACTCAAACTTTAAATCATTTTGGGCGTTTTTTCAATAAACGCAACAAAATTGATTGTTTGTCTGACCAATCAGATTCTTTATTAAATTCATTGAGAGTGTGTTTGAGTGCGTCTTAACGATGGCAAAGTACAAATTTGTCGTTAATAGTAGCATATTCAAACTGGTACATTGATCCTGTTTAAATTAAAATAATAAATTATTTACATCAATTTGACTGTTAATATTGCAGTAAATCGACCGATTTTTCAAAAATTGAAATGCGGATTTTAAAATTTAGACAAGATAAAAATGGGTTGTACAGTACCGGACAATTTTTGATGCCTATAGGATCAATTCTGATTGGCTAATTTTGATGTAATTGATTCTAATTGGTTAATTAAATATACATTCTTTTTTTAATAAGTTGTCATTTCGGCACAAAAACGTCATGATTGTCCATTATGTGATCGAAGTTTCGAAAACGATGATGAATTTAAAAAATTTTTAAAAAAGATTACTCGGTTAGCATAACTGAAAAAATAATTGAAAAAATAACTGACTTGGAACGTCAAATACGGATACTGATGCAAGGCTTAAACGTCTTTGCGACTGATTTAGAGAGATAAATTGAGGAATTACAAAACAAAAAGGCTGAAACTGACACTATGTTGGAAGATATTTATGTCAATCTCGCTGGAATCCAAGTAGAAATCAGCAATACTACAAAGCTACATAGAGATGCTGACAAAATTAATAATTGGCACAGGGAACTTGAAACCATAAAATCAGACATTTATTATACTGAAGATGAATTAAGTAATTTAGGATCAACAAGAACTGTTGAGGATTGTACAAATGAGCGAGATACAGCAAGATGAGGCGAAAAAATAAGGAGAGATATTGCCAATCTTACGCAAATGAAAGAAGCGAGACTAAAAGAATTGAACACACGTTCAAAAAAGTTGGCCGTTTGAAATTAGAGTTGCAATCTAAGAAGAGTGATAAAGAAAATTACAACCGTTTGCAAAAAGAAATTACTTCATTGAATGAAGAAACTAAAAAGTATGAAGACAATGTTAAAATGTTTGATGCTCAAATATTGGAATTAACACCAAACCTTCGAGAGACTGAAATTGAAATAAATGAATTCAGGCAAAAGAAAACTGAGGCTGAGATGGCAGCCATTAATGATTTAACTGAGGCTCAAAAACAATCTGAACGATTCTTTAGATTAGATCGTGAAGTTGATCATGGAAATAGCAAGGAGAGATTGAGAAATTGGACCAAAAAATAGCTACTAAAACTATTGCCAGTGAAAACAATTGCAAAATATGGATAAACAATCATCTGATGCACGAGAAATTCAGAGATCAATTGATGAAAATCTTAAATACAGAATATTGCAGAGTGAATTACGTGACCTTGATGATCAAATTAACGAATAGAATCTGCAAGGTTCATCAAATTACAAGATTCGATTGGACGAACTACAAAAAGTTCAAGAGACAGTGCTATCTGATGTAAATAATTTGATTATGGTTTATTCATCTTTGTACGATTTATTCTTCCGTACTGAATTTTATTTCTTTTTGTAGTCTGCAAGGTATACTGGAGAGCTTAAACAATTAGAAGAGGCTGTCCGAAGAGGACAAAATGAACTAAACACGGAATATAAAGACATTAACGATAGATACGCTGATCAGTTTATCGTAGTTAAAGTAATTATGACAGTTATTATTCATATTTATTAGAAATTAGGAACTTACTAAAAAAAATTTTTTTATTCATATATATAGACTAGTGAATTAGGTGTTAAAGACCTTGAAATAAAGATTTGAGTAAATCGCGTGGATGCAAAAAAGTTGGTTAACAGATAATACACGTACAGTACTTACTTACCTGGATCGGAAGCACGCAGCCCAGAAACCAAATCTAGAAACCAAATCTAGAAACCAAATCTAGAAACCAAATCTAGACCCAAAACCGGTTTTTTAAATCATTCCGTACAAAACACCAGTCCATAATCTTCGCAAATATTTACATGACATCTTATGACATCTTCGAATGCTTTATTTCCAATTAAAGATAAATAAGTGTAGGTAACGATAACAATCACACAATACGAAATGGCTTCGATTCAATATGCAAAAATAATCAGTAATAATCAATATCCCACGAACTTTACTTGATTCATAGGCTTTAATATAAATTATCAAATCACTGCTACTGAGTTTTTTTGATTTATCCGTCGAAGACTTTTTTTAGTCCATTTCCCATATGTGTGCTTTCCCACACTTTATATATCATCTGTTGAAGTCTATTCCCCATATATATCGCAGATCCGTGCTATTCTATAAAATTTTTACTGATAAATTTCTTTATTTGGCATGGTTCCACCTGAAAACGATTATTGATGATATCAGATATTGCATTCTAATTGGTCGATCAGAAATTTTTTCGGAATTTTTTTTTTCAGTTTTATCACTTAAATAGAGTCGTATCGCTTCTATAACCGTTTTTCTTGTAATATTGTCTTTTGCATTCCACTCTTTTATTATGAAAGTCGATAATAGAAAGAAATATGTTAGTCACAAAAGTAACATTGTGAGTCTTTTTCTAAGGCTTGCTTGACGTGGTTCTTTAGCGCGTTATATAAATTCAACTTTTAATATTTTTTTCGATTTTTGTTTCTTGCAAGTGCTTGAATCCATCGCCTATAAAGTATTCAATATTCAATCTTACTGGCCAATATGACATGGTGAGTTCTCTGCAGAGGCTTGCTTAGTATGGGTTATCTAGCGTACCGCGCTCCTGTATTACGCTGCTCAATTAGGATGATCTACGGGCTGTTCATGACGTGTGGGACGAAAGAGTGAAAGGTGAATCCGCGGTTGTAATGATGATATCTTTAATACTAACGTTTTCTTTTTTTAAAAAAAATATATGATTTAGTTGTCGCTTGAGGATAAACAATTTGTCTATATGGGGCCGTTTGGGATAAGCAAAAACGACATTTTGGAACACCAGGTCGCCATTTTTGAAGGGCAAAGTTGGCAGAGGAGGTTTTGACTCAGCAAGCACGGCTGGCTGATATGATTTTTATGAAAAAGTTTTTACAATAAAATGAAATTAAGGATTTAGAAATAATAAATTTAAATATTGCTACAAGAATTAAACAATAAATTTAAATATTGCTACAAGAATTAATTAATAAATGTTAATAATGTATTACATGGGTGGAAAGTGGGTGAGAAAAGACCCCGCATATTAGCAATATCTTGATCAATTGTTAACGGCTCCGATGCAGTCATTTCTATTAATCAATTATCAATGGTATTCATAATATTTGCTAAAATGTGGGAATTTCGACTAAACATTGTATCCTGTGCCGATTTTTTTGATTTTTTTAATAATAATTTCGATGTACAGTATTTAAAGAATAACATGGGGATTTGCGGCTGAATGCTTCGTAAAAGTCAATTTCGCGGCCTTGATAGTCAAAGGCTTAGACTGACAAATTTTTAATTCATCAAGTCAAGATTGTAAATTATCTTTAACATCACCAAAATCGCTAGTCAAATTTTCTAATTTTTTTCGAGCCACTCCTTTAGCATCCGTACCGCTGGCCTTGATATAGGCTTCCAAATCCTTAATGTCCTTATTAATCTTATCGTAATCGCCCCACAGTAGATGAAAAAAAAAATTATAAATGGCCATTCACTGCTTAAACTAGAAGTCATGAAGAAACGACTATCTATTTTAGAAGTTATAAAGAGAATAACACTTAAGGCCGTTTGAAGTTAATTTTTCGGTTAACATCACCCCCTTTGATGCCCCGGTAAAATGAACATATAAAAAAAGTAAAATTAAAAATACCGTATAACCACGAAATAACGCGATGGGGTGTGGTTTCGAATTTCAGCCTAAATTAAGCTTAATTCAGGCCAAAATTCGAAATAACTCCCTATGCGCTATTTCGCGGTTATACGGCAAATATAAAATAAAAAAATAATTTAAAATAAAATAAATAATTTAAAAATAAAAAATAAAGCTAAAATTTTAGTTCCTACTTGGCTGTCCTCTCATTTCAGTTTGTGATGAAACGATTCAAAAAAAACTGCCGAAAAAAGAGCTTCCGAAGTGTTTTTTTACTCGATTGTGAAGAGCTAGAGAACTAGTATTAATGAGTAAGAAGAAATATTTAAATAAACATTTAACTTTTACGGAAA